GGCCAATGCAGCCTATTTAACCATTTCAAACCTCCAGGCTGAGGATGAGGCTGATTACTATTGTGCTGGTGCTTACAGCAGTGGCAGCAACTGGTGGTATCCACAGAGATACATTCACATGCAGAAGTGAGACTCAAACCTCTCCTTGTACTTATTTGTGAACACTTCCTTCCTCCCCTGAAGAGCTTTGACCATGGGGTGGAGCTCTCTACATAGTTAAAATATTTTCAGAGCAGAGACAATGTCAGAATAAAACCGATTTCCTGAATTTAATCCTGGTTGAAAAGATTGTGGACATATCAAGCCAGGAAATGTGCTGAATTTGTTCAACAGGGTTCTCAGTTTTGAATGTGCTTTTGCAGAAATCCTAAATTCTGAGGGATTGTGGACTTTCTCTTCCACCAATTTCTTTGCTGAAGTGATGATTAACGAACACAACAAATATATTATAATCTTGTACTAAATATAAACAAAAGGTAATCTTCCATCAAAAATGAGGAGTGTACTCAAGGAAGTGTGAAGACTAACCTTCTGAAAGGAAACACCGACAGTAGAAAGACATGTTGCATGAAGAAAAAATTTAATGTAAATTTCTGAGCCAATTTTTATTTTGGCCACTTATATTTGCAATTTGCATTGACCATATGGTGGAGCTCTCTCTACATCGTTAAAATATTCTAAGAGGAGAGACAATTTCAGATTAAAACTGATTCCCTGAGTTTAACTCTGGTTGACAGGATTGTGGACATAGCAAGTCAAGAAATGTGGCAAATTTGTGCAACAGGGATTTCAGTTTTGAATGTGCTTTTGCAGAAATCCTAAATTCTGAGGGATTGTGGAATTTCTCTTCCATCAATTTCTTTGCTGAAGAGATGATTAATGAACAGAACTAATACACCATAATCTTGTACTAAATATAAACAAAAGGGAATCTTCCATGAAAAGGGAGAAATGTAGCCAACAAATGTGAATAAATGTGAAGACTAACCTTGGGAAAGGAAACACTGACAGTAGATTGACATGTTGCATGAAAAAACATTTTTGTATAGATCTCTGAGCCAATTTTTATTTGGGGTGTTCATATTTGCACCTCCGTCCAAAGCGTGAAGCTCTGAATCTCTGCAGAAATAATCAGCTGGAATCTACATTCTCATCCCAAGTATGACACACAAACAATTCCTGGGGATTTATTTTCCTCGAGGGTTAAATGTTTAATGGATAAAACTGGTGCTTTAGAAATGTTATTGTCTGGATTAGGCAAATCAGTTATTCAAGTAACAAGATTGGGAGAGA